TAACAAAAGAATTTTGGCAAGTTTAGTAAAGGCATACAACTACTGATAGATGCTGAAAACAGTGAAAATTCATATTCCTGCAGCTGTAGAAAATTGTAGTGCATATTGTATCTGAGCTAGGAATTCCAAATAGAATTTCACATTCTGTATTGCCTGAAGACATTTGAAACTTATCCTGTATATTGTACCATGTGTTTACCTAACCTGAGAATTTTAAAAGTTTGAATAAAGCTATCCACTGTACTGACAAGATTAGTGTTACTTTACTTCTTAACTTCCATACTTAGTTGAAGGGCAGTAAAATATAAAAGGAGAAAGACTATGTTTCCTTACATTTCTCTGAATGGGGAAAAGCATTTTAAATGGCAAACTGGGACTTTCTTAATGAAAAGAATTATTTGGGGACATGATATTGAAGAGTTATGCCTACAGTGCAAAGTATGGAAGTGATGAAATTTATGCAAAGCCTCAGAAAACAAAATACAGGAAATAGCAGAATACTAACTGGTGGTTGGAAAAAAAAACAGGACTGGGAAAAGAATTATTAGGGCAAGTATAACTTGCTCCAGTAGCAAGTGGTTATGGTGTGACTAATGCTCTCACTCATGTTTCCAGTATACAGTGTGTTAGGATATACTAATAAATACAGCTTGACCTGATATGAATGAAACGGCAACTTGACTGTATGTCTGTGTGTCTAGAATCCAATACAGAACACCTGAAAGAGCACTTAGTCTTGATAGTAAAATTTTAAAAACCCAGCAAATTAAAGGAACTTGGTGAGCATTCAAATATAATGATACATAGCCTGTAATTAGGACTTCAAATTACATATATTTTTCTTGTCTAATAACCTCTGCAAGAATATAATTATGATACATTTTTAGTTTCCTCTCCTGTACCTTTTTGTTATTCATCAATCTGCATATTTTCAAGATGAAAAAAAGAGAAATAGAAATACTGAATAGATAAAGAAATTCCAGAACAGTGAAATCCAGTGAAAATGTACACCAGAAAAGTGTTGCAGTCTCTGTCATGTCTGACAGGTAACCTTGGAATGACTGAACTGGCTCATTTTTCGGCATGCCAGTCAAATATGAAAGTTTGAAACATCAACAATCATAGCTTGTGCAATGGATGTCATTTGGTATAAAACCACAGATAGAATGTGTTTCATCTGTCTTAACATCAGAAAACTTAAAAAGATTCTTTGTCTTCTGTGTAGAAGTTGCTGATGGTTTCTGTCCTTCAGGTTATATTGTCACTACACATCTCTATTTCAGTTTGCAAACATATGGAAAAAGTAAACCAGATGAACCATTAAACAAAATACTTGTGATACTTTGTAAAAAAAGAATTGTGTCTTGTTTGTATATTTGAGTTTTGTAGTGTGACTGCAAATCTGACATCCTGAATGCATTTGCTGCTTTGGAATCTATCTGGTTCATAGGAGTGTATATACCTGATCCATGCCTGCTAGTCATCAGTAATGGATGAGTAAGGAGAGCATGTAAAAGACAGGGTAAATGTAGACTGGTTTGGGTTTTTTTAAACTTACACTATTTTCTTTGCTGCTGGTAGAACATACTTAAGCTTTTCCTGAGGACAAGGTTGTAAAAAACAGGTCATTATACTGAATAAAATTTAATTGAATTCTGTATCAGGCTTCTGTTTAGTCTTTTGAGCTTACTTCTGCTTTCAGCCTTCACAATATTCTCTAGCACTATGTTTTACAACTTAGTTTTTTGTTTGTAGAGCAAGGAAAAAAAATTTTAATTAAATTTTTGGTGTTGGATATATTTCCCAATTCCTGTATTTGTGAGACAGCAGAGAATAAGTATATCCTTTCCACATTTTGCGTATCTTTTATCAGTCTCCTAGACCTTTTATCAGATCTTTACATCTGTTTGTCACTTTTCTCTCATATACTCTCACTGAAGGCTGGAATTTTAGCTAGTTGGATACAAAAACTATTGATTATTCTTACTGACTTTCATGCTATCATCATTCTGAGATAACTTTTTTCCACTGCTGCAAGTTTTCAGAGTTGTGAGGGTGTGGCAGAGTAATGCCACATGATGATGTTTCCGTTTCCTATTTCATTCTTAATCATTTTTGAATTCTAACTTCTTTAACCATTGCTGTTGAGCTAGGGAGGTGAATATTTATGGGATGTTAGAAATTATTTTGTACTGATGCAGGAAAAGGCCGTTCTTTGACACTGTGGCTATGGTACATAGCCATCAGTCATCTGTCAAGACAGCATTATTGAGGAGAAGTCACTGAATTTAATTTAGAAAGAGTTAACATGAGACTTAAAGTAAATACCAAGATGCAATTTCCTCCAATTCTACCTCTCTATAGTGTATATTGAAAGGATAATAAAAGGTTTACCCGTTTACATCATCTCTTTGAAAGGCTCATATTGCTAAGGGTAGCACTTATATGTGTTCACAAGTGTTACAGTGACATAAATAACTTCATTTTGTGTGGAGGAGGCTGGGGAAAGCTGGTGTATGAGTTAGGGAGGTACTGCACTGAGCATCAGATCAGTTTGCCCTGTGTATCTCCAGAGTGACTGATTCTGTTTTTGAAGAGTGGGGATTTTGGTACTTTTCTCCTGTGTGGTATGTTCAGGATTTGACTTAGGGAAAAGATGGAATTTATATCTTTCAGTAATTGCAACTGTGTTGTGTAGCTCTCTTGTTAATAAGACTCTTTTAGTAATTAAGTGTATGTGCCAGGGGAATGTATGTGCTGCACTCCAGATCTGCAAGGGTGTGTGACACCTTAGGGCAGTGTGAGGTTTTGTCTGTAAGGGGTTTTTGTGTTGATGCAGTTTCTGGTGTGCTAAGGTCCTCATCTTGGATTGGATCTGTTGGCCACAGGACAAGTGGTAAGTGTGGTGTGCATAATGCCTTCTTTGCTCCAAGATAAGCACCTCTTCATTTGTTTTTGTTGTGAATTGAAATGTGCAGAGGGATTGAAACAAAGACAGTAGTTCTGCTCAAAAGCAGGGAGCTAATCTATAGGGATGTTGTTTGTAGAATATTGCTTTAAGGCAATCTGTTCTCTGCTCAGAGTGACAGACCCTCTGCCAAATGGGATGGTCCTGAGTCTTCAGGGGAGAAGAGCAGCTACACAGACAGTATGGGGAGTTGGGATGGACACCTGCTCACACTGTTATCCAGGGAAAATCAGAGGCACAGGGGGTGCTCAGGAGGCAGATCCTGAAAACGTAGGTGTTAGAAGCAGAAAGGCTTTGGATGAAACTTTCCCTCTGCCAAACTGCAAAGCTGTTTGGGTTTTCTAGTTACCTTTTCTGCGTTGCAGATATGTCTATGCCGTGATGCATACCACAGAGAAAAATATAAATTAAATTTGTCTCCAGTAGACCTCAAAATTTAAAATGTATAAAAACAAATCTCACAGCAAGAATTCTGGTTTCATTGTTTCATTTAAAATTAAAAGCAAGCCAGAGAAGTGAACTGTATACTAACAACAACAAAGTAAAACATGAAGGGAATTTATGTTTGGTTGGAAAAATAAATTTTTATTTCATTGTTTAAGCTGGAAAGAAAATCTGGCTTCATGTCATTTATTCAGTTCCTCTGTGTAGACTGCCAGTATTTTAGAAGACATATTTCTCAAGTCTTGAAAAATAACTTTAAAATTGGCTGAATATTGTCACTGCCCTGTCAGGAGAGTACTATTTAGCTCAGCTATATCAATGATAATAGTTACATATTTGTACATTTCTGGGGTTACAGAAATTAAATTGGAATGTATGAAATCATTCCACCATCAGTAGCTGTAGAGTCCAGGACAGATCCATTGCACGAACAGGGCAATTTTTTGTCACATCACTTAATGATCAAATTCTTGTCCTAGGGAGCCTCCAACACTCTTGTAGGACAATAGTAGGAAAGGGTTCTTTTCCCTATCCAGGAAACATAAAGGGAAAAGCTATGCCCACCTATAGAATGAACTTGGCATGTTATAGAGATATTTATGAACACTGGCAGTAAAAGCAGAGACAAAAGTCTTTTATGTCTCTGTTTATTTTTAGGCAAAAAGGTGTTAAACTAAGCCTGTCTTTTTGCTGGTTTGGTTTTGCATTGTGGGTTTCTTGGGGGTTTTTTCCCCCCCGTCTTTGTTTTCATTTTAGCTTGTGGTTGCACTTCCTCACCAGGATTAGCAGATGTACATTGCTGGGTGCAGCCTTCCTTTTTTCTGATCTTTTACCTGACCATTTAGTTCTAATCTGAGGGTGGTTTTGGTAAAGAAAATATATCTGCCATGTGTTAATTTGGTGTCCTATGTAAATAAAGACTTTCGTGGAAAGTTTTAGCCTAGTGTAAAGAGTGTTCTTCCTCTCGAGGATGGTGTTGAAGCACTGAAAGAAGTACAGCTGTCTCAAAACACTTTATGGTGAAAAAACCTTGAGTGTATTGCAGGCTATTTATGGATCAAGCTTGGCTGCATTCCATAGGAGAGATTTTTCCTGTAATTCTGTACTGGCATGTATGAAAATGTTGTCATCCTTTTTGTAAGAAGTCAAGAAGGAAAAACAGATTTTTGAGAAATTGTCCTGCTGGAAATCATTCACTTATTTGTCAACACAGATATGTCTGTTAATTTCTATATGTTTGCAGTAACTGCTTGTTGATGGCACTGCTGGTCAATTCTATGGCAAAGATCTTCTGCTTCTTTACATTCTTGTGATGTCTGAACTTTCCAGAAGTGATTCTGAGAGCAAATGTGACCTCAACAAAGAAAGTTACTCAGTGTTCAAATTTTAAAAAGCCTCTGCTGTTGTGGAAAAAGCTGCTGCAAGGAGGTGGTTAATACTTCAATAGTGATCTTATCTAGGAAATTGCAAAGAAAAGACATCAAATTCTAATACAATTTCAAGAATTCTGAAATTGGGATAGTATCTTACTGTAAGATTATGTCTAAGCCGTTTTGTTTTAAATTAGCAACTACTTCTTTTTTTTCAGGAAATTTGGAGAGCGACCTCAACCGAAACGGCTCACAAGGTAAGCATTCAAGAAACTCAGTATTTAACAATTTTCTGAAGTTACCCCTTGCATTCTCAGAAAAATTAGGTTAAAAATGTGTGGGTTGCTGACACTAGAATTTTAAATATCAAAGCTTTTCAGTTGTACATGCAATCAGCAGCCAGAAGTACAACTTTTAACACACTGGCTTATTTTTAATGTGAAACTCAAAAGGCATTTTGAGAAATGGTGTTGACTTCATGTATCAGTTATTGTAGGTTATACTGTAGGTTGTGGATCTGCTTGTTTTTAAATCCTCAGGAATGAGCTGATTTGTTTCTTGAGTCAAAGTGAGATCATGCAACACTTTTTGCTGCCAGAATTGTACACGGTGTTGTCAATGAGTGATCTGAACCAATTTTTGATGAACCCTGAGTAATCAGAGAGTATCAAACAGAACTATCAAGTCAGTCCATTCTGGAAAGTATTTAGGGTGACTGGAGTGCAGTGCTTGATTTGCTCCTGGCCTGCCTGGGATGCATTTGCACCACAAACTGTTAAGGAGTCACCTTCTTTTTTCGAACTGCTTTAACACAGTCTATGCAAATATTTATTATTCTGTGCCACCAACTGGGCCAATTATAATTAGCTTCTGGCTTATAAAATCCACTATTTGCTTGAAAGCAAAAAAAGGATGTGCCATTTGTTGTTACAGTTTTGTGTGGTGATAGAGGAAGCCTCTTGTCACCCTGACAGCCTGTGTTTTGAATGAAATGATACCTTATGTTAGCACATGATGGGAGGGAATATTTACTTTTTGTGTTGCGAATATCTGTCTCACTGCATTTCTGGATACATTTTAGGTTAGCTTGTCATCATTAAACTTCATTTCAGTGCAGAATTGACCCATACTGACTTACAAGCGTTTGAACAAACGTGGCAGTTTCTTGTTGGCCTAGGAGTCTTCAGGGATATTTGAAGATACTATGTTTTAGTAATGAGCTGCTTTCCATCTTGGGTAGTAGCATCTGTACTATAACCCTGAAGTTAATAATAGAATTTATCTTCCTTCATTAAAATAGTGAACAAAAATAGAATGTATCTTCTATGTTTCAAAAAGAGCAAGAAAAAAAGAAATTACTATGCAATGAGAGTTTTTAAATAAGTTTTCTATTTACTGTAGTTACTCTGAATTTCATGTGCAGGATTTTAGCTACTAGGTATGCTCATTGCTTTTTCCTGAATACAGGGTGAGTATTTGAGAAGTGCCAGCCATCCTTCAAAACTGCAGTTTGAAAACCTTTCCTGTGATGATAGAGGTTGGAAACAAACAACCTAACGTTCTTCTGCAGAATAAACTGCTGAAACAGAACAACTGTCACCCATATTTTTAAGATTGACTTGTTTATGCAATGCTGAAAATGTGTCTGTAAACCCTTAAAAGCATTTAGTTCAATTATTGGAAAATTGCTGTGGGTTTTTTGTTTAAAGGTTGTCTGGTTTGAGTAATAATCTCCAGCAGAACAACACTACTCTGTTCATACAATGCCAGTTAGTTTTACATGTAAACTGTACTAACACTACCTTCATGAAGAGTTTTAGCATTGAATAATGAAAAATGTCACATAAGATATCAGCGAGAGGGGTTGGAGGGGGAACATCACTTATTCCCACAGGAGCTTGGATTGTACAAATCCACTGTATGAACAGACCAATAGAAAACACAAATTTTCTTCCTCATACAATGCTAAATAAAGATTAGATAGCATTGAGCAGTTTTCTGTGTGAGTTGCTGGGTTTGATAGTCAAGTGTAATAATAGTAATGTCAAAGTTTTTAATACAACAGAGTTCTTAATTTAGTATGATAGTACTCTTAACAGAATATTTCAAATTGTTAGATTAAAAGTGTTAAACAACTTAAATGCAGCTAATATATATCATAATGAAGTGTATAATAATAATTTCACAGTGAATTATGTTTTGGACTTTAAAATATACTCTTTAAAAATGTCTGTAAATTAGTAAGTCTGTGAGCTTTGAAACAGTCCGTCCAGCTGTATTTCATGGATAAACATCAGTTTTACCAATGTCAAATGTAAATAGATGAAGTTAGTCCAAATTTAAAACAGCAGTTCAAGTCTTATTCTCTCTTCTTATATCCTGGTATTTACACAGAAAATCGGCTCACTGATCACTAGACATTAATCATGTCCTGTGCAGGCGTGACAAACACAAGAATTTGCAAAACATCATTAGCAAAGCTGAGTTGTCATTGTCCAACCCAGCCCTGGCTCAATCTACTTGCCTTTCTGGGGATTTCTTTTGGAAAAGGTCTGGTCAGTAAAATACTGCTTTCTATCTTCCATGATTTTTTCACTAGAAATGTTTGGTTTTCCAGATCTGTCCTAAGGGAATTCAATAGTTGGCGCAGTTCACAGATAAAAAGACAAAAATCCAAACAACCAAACGAAAAAACCTTCTTGTGTTGGGTTTTGTCTTTTCATATAAATTCCTGATAAATCCATAATTTATTTCTCTGGTAGATGACTTTGAAGATGAGTGCATTGGTGGGCATTCAACCCACAAAAGCTCCTTCAGGAACTGGTGTTCCTGCCAGCACTCCGGCACAGCTGATCCCTAGGGTGTTGAATTTGGCATGCTGCTTAATGAACAGTTAGATTATTATACAGAAGAGTGACTGGCTGTTATTGTTCTCTTGCTTCTCTCAAGGAATTGTTGTTGGTGTGTTTGAAGTAATTACAGATTTATATAACATCTGTAATTACAGTGATGATGAACAATAAAGCATTTTTAAATTTTTTGTTTCCTGATTGTATGCAGAAAGTAGATCTTTTTTCTAGAAAACTAGGCAAAACAATATGCTGAAGAATTTAAGTTTTTCTTAGTATCTTCAAAACCAAAAGAAAACTTGTATAGAAATATTGCACTGAGTTGGTTAAAAGCTTAGACAATTTGTCCTTATCATGAGATACTAAATAGGTCATGAAGAAAATATTTAACTAATAAAATGTGTTCTAATTTCTGGCATGGTGCTTAATGAAATAGGACTTTAAACATGGTGTAATTACTGGCATTGGTATGATTTTACATCAGAAGAATTTTTTTTCCTGGAAATATAGTAATTGTAAATTATCACAGACCCCACATTGCTAGTTTTGTGTGGGATAGTCACTTCTTTTTCCTGTGTAATTGTCTTAAACAGTGAGCAAACACATCTTGACCCTGGTAACGATGGCCTTTTTGGAATTGCAGGTCCTGGAGTTTTTTCCCCAAAGTTTTCTTCATTTTTTTGTAAACAAAACCAAAAGAACTTCAAAAGCTTATATTGTGTTTTGATTTTTAGGGAAGCAATGCGAAATTACCTGAAGGAGCGAGGTGACCAAACAGTGCTAATACTCCATGCAAAAGTTGCGCAGAAATCATATGGAAATGAAAAAAGGTAACTTTTTATGCTGTACTGAGTGTCTACAGCTGGCAGCTAAGGAAACTACACTGTGTATTTGGGTGCACAGTGCTTTGCAGAATTTCTCAGATTGCAGTGTAGTCTGAAGAAACATAAAATGCTTTCTCCTAAATCATTTAATTGTGTAACAGGTACTGCAAACCTATAGCATTCAATGGAGTGATGCCAGTTTCTACCTGGTTCCCTATCTATGGGCTAAGCTTTTCTTCCATTACTTAGAATTGTTCTCGTTTTAAACCTTCCATTTTAATGCTGGAGTAAATGAGGTGGTCAACAGTGAATACTTGTAGAGGAGATTTTTTCTGAATAATTTCACGTTAATATGAAATGGAAATTGGTAGCCTAAGTAAGATAAGTTTCGGAATCACATCTGCAATAAGTTTAACAAGAATGATAGGCCAATCATGACTGTATTTATGATAAACATTTCCTTGCAAAAATCAATACAGTACATGTTACAATTATAGGTACTTTTCTAAGGGACAAAATTTGCAGGAATACATGAGAATGAATGCCTTTTAGGCAAAGGTGCTTTTCCTGCAGTCTTCTCTTGCTGTCTTCACTGTGTGATTATTTTCTTGAATGACTAGTAGAAGCAAATAGGATGCTCCTGCATATGTGTGTTTATTGACCTAACAGTTGCATTTATTCATGCAGGTTATCTCTGATTCATCTGTTTAAGAATGGAAGCATGTCAAATGAGTGTAGAAAACTTTAGAGCTTTCTAAAAGGAGATCAGGAATGAAAATAGTTGCTTGATGGTTATCATATAATATGGTGCTGAAATGATTGCTCTTGTGCTGTGGGTCTGAAATGAAGGTGTGGAATCAGTCACCAAATCAATCAGGTTGGAAGGTTCCATGTGGGGACATCTGCTCCAAACTAGAGCACGTGGCACAGGATTGCATCCAGATGGTTCTTGAATGCATCCAGTGAGTGAGACTCCAGAACCTCTCTGAGCAACCTCTTCATGTGCAGTCACCTGCACAGTAAAAAAGTTCATCCTTGTGTTCAAGTGGAACTTCAGTGCTTCAGTTTCTGCCTGTTCCCTCTTGTCCTTTTTGCCTGTTCCCTCTTGTCCTGTACATACTAAGGTTTCATTTTTTCAGTTTAAATATTTTAGTTGTTCTTAAGCTGTAACATATCATGTAGACTGTCTCTAATACTGTTCTGCTAGTTCCCAGACTGTCAGCATCAGTAATGATGTCCTCTTGTTATCAGCATAAAGGAAACTGCCAGTTATTAAATCCTTGGATCCATGTGTGCCCTAAGGTACATAGTAAAACTGAATGATGAAGTATTATATTCCTGTTTCTTCTTTTGTTTTTCTCTTGAGTTTTTAAATTGTTTCTGCTTTATTTATTGCAAACTGTGGCATTTGTTTCTTCATATTTCTGGAGTAAGCAAAATTAGTAAAGTTTTAATGCTGCTTTATGCAGCTCAACAGCCAAGTTTTTACCATTTTTACATTCACCATTTCTGAAGTGAGTTGGTTTGCATACATCTTAGAAAGAAACTTATTTTATACCCATTTTTGTAGACAAATTTCCTGTTTTCCATGGGATTTCATTGTGGCATTGATATCATCTGGGTAATTTGGACCTTAAAGAATAACTTACTTTGCATTACTTTTGTAATGAGGGATTCAAGTTACAAAAAAGAATTATTTCTTTAATTTGATATCTCTTTCAAGTAAATATAAAACTTAAACCTAGACGAACTTCCACCTCTTGTTCCTGTCTTTATTTAAGTCTTACTTGTTGCAAAGTCATGGAAAATGCTTGCCATTAGCAAACTTAGGACATCATAATTAAAAGGTTAGCACAACAACTACTTTTCAGTGTTTTGATGAGGGTTACTAGGTGGTGAAATACTCTGTTAAGTGCTTACTGTAGATGGTGCAGATGTCATGTAGTTTGGCCTGTTTTAAATATGCATCACAATAACACTATTCCAGGTGCATGGATGCAGACTTCCTAGGTTCATTTGAGAGGTTTTGGTACCTCTAAGTAACAGGAATGAAGGGAGTTGACTTTTTGGAGTCGACGCTTCCTATGAGCCTTGCACTTCACAAAGTCAATGGTTTTTAGCTTAGCAAAGAAGCCAGGAGGGAAGAAGCTCAGGTTGGGCTTTAGTTGAATGTAAGACTTTGTGCCTGATATTTGCTGTTGCATGATTGTCGCCTTTCAGAGGCATTCAGCTGATAGAGACTCAGGTGCTGTTTAGTGTTGAGTGTGGGTATTTGGTTTGCACTTCTTGTAGTGTTTTCCATATTTACCATTGACTGAGAGTTGTGTCTTCAAAATCTGAGCAGTGTGAACATTCAGCAGTTTAAAGGACTGAAGTGTTTTGGATTCCAAGGCATAGTTTATCTAAAGACTGTGAGACAGATAGGGATTTTGATTGTGCTGTTTGCAGTTAAACATGATCATTGCTGATTAGCATGAGAATGCTGTAGCTGCATCTTGTTTTACAGCTGTTAGTGAAGGAGCTCCTGTAATTTCTGATCAAGTACTTCCTTTCTCTGAACTGAGTGTGCCTGTCCTCTGGATAAAATTTTGTTATTGAGAGCATAGCTTTTTCCAGGGCTTACCCCATGGCTCCACTGCTTTGTCCTTAGCACTGTAGTACCTAAGGATTTTTTTCATTTGTTTGTTGTCACTTTGAGTTCTTCAGTGGATGTTGTTAGTTCTTTAATCTCCTATGAAGAAAGATTGCTGAGCAGTTTCATACTCAGAACAATGTGGGTAATTGACAAACACTTAGAATTCACCAACAGATACAAAGGAGAAACTTCCCTTCCAAAGTCACTCTTGGTAAAAAATAACTAGCTAGTAGAAGCATCTAAATTCTCCTGAAGGCAAGGGCTTCTATAAGATGAACCCAGAGATGATTTGGATGATTTGAAACAGCAAACCTTTGTGACAGAAGCCTGTGGTTTCAGGAGAGCATTGAGTCCATCAGAATTAGCTAGAAATTACACGAGCGGCTCTTATTTCCCTTTAAGCCCTTGCTTCCTTGCAAGGTCAGTTGGAGTAGCTGCTCTGCTTGAAGTACCACATTTTCTCTGTATTGACTGGCTTGAATTGACTGAAGGAATACTGTTCTCTCCTTTGATGTTTACCTGATTTAATACAGTGTTTTCAAAGTTCAAACCTGGTTCACATTTCTGTATTGGACAGAATATTCATAGCTAATTTCTTCTGTACGTGAGTTCGTGCAATGGTAAATACGAAGTTAAAAAGACCCAAGACTGTAGCTGTCTCTGCCTGAAAGCTGAGAAAGAGGTAGATATATAAGAAGGAAAACCCCCTCAAATTGTGAGTGTCCAGACTCTTTCTACATGTTTGTAGTTTTAACCAAACTTAAAATTTTATCAGCTTTAAAAGTTTCTTTGTTCAGTAAGTTTTCAAAGATGTTTCTCTGCGTTCTAATTTTAAGAGTGCTTTTTGTTGAGGTTTGTTTTCATCAGTGGGTTACACCTTGTTTCTTACAGGTCTTTATTGCCATCTAGTGGCTGTAGTTATTCAAAGGATTTGGTTTAGAATAAAGCTGAAATGAGAAGGGGTGTGAAAAAAAGTAGAGATTTTCTTTTCTTGTGTTCTAACCAGTAAGATAAATACAAAAGAGTACATAAAGAAAAAGGGTAAATGTGTCATGTTCTTTATGGTGTAATATTTGGAATTGAAGGGATTTGTTGGATTTTTGTTTTGGTTTTATTTTACCAAAGCATTGTTCTGTTAATAAAGGTTGACACTAATTTTTAATCCATGCATAACTTCTTCATCAAGAATAGCTTACAGATGATGACCACAATACTTTTGAAAGAAGTTCATAGATCTTTCAGCTGTATACCTATTAGTATAACACCTGTCTTTGCTGTGTTGAAAATAGAACAAATGCAAGGGAAAAATTTTGACTACAGATTTATAGTCAAGAAAGAAAGTTTGAGGAGTTTTTTGCCTGCAGACAGGTAAATTTTTATTCATTTTTGTAACCACTAAGGCTTTTTAAACCGCAGTAAGTCTTAAAATTTGGTGATTTGTTTCTCTGACAGAAAATATACATTATTTGTGTCCATTAACCAAAAATACTACAAATACTTGCATTTATTTATATGTATTCTTAATATGTGTATTTAATTTTATGGTACTGTTAACAGCACTTTGGTTAATCTATTAAGAATTCTGTCACTAAAAAACCAATTTATATCTGTTAAATACATGTGATCATACTGGAAAAAATAATGCTGAATAGCTGAGATAAATAGGAGTTTTACACTAGATTTTCATACTAAAACTAGCATTAAATGGTGTTAAATAGAAATAAGAATCATTTAGGATGGAAAAGACCTTTCAGATCATCAAGTCCAACCGGTTACCTGGCACTGACCTCTCTTGCCCAGGACTCCCACAGACACTTCAGAAACTGAATAATTGTGTCCTCTGGTCATTTTCCATGACTTGGAGCCCACAGTTCAGTTTACTCCCCTGCCCTGACATCTGCCCACCAGCACAACTGGCTGCTGCCCCAGCGTGGAGCCTGCTCCCCCTGCCTGGAATTCAGATGTCCCAAGCCCAATTTAAAAAAACAGAAGAAGAAAAAAAAAAAAGAAAGAAAAGGCCAGAAAACCCTCACCTGTAAGGTAGGAGTCATGGTTGGGCTGCAGAAGTTGCAGAAGTGCAGACTTATAACACTACTCTCCATACTGAAGTAAATAAAATAATAAGAAACTTTTTCATGTTCCCCTCCCTTACATGCCTCCTTTGCTACCTCACAACTGGTTATATTCATTCTACTTTATCTTTCACCATAGTGTAATGATGGTAAAAACACAACAGCTTGTTTGCCAACTACAACCAAACCTTTTCAGGATTTGGGCTTTAACAATTTGCAGAAACTTCAAGACCAATGCATTGTATTAAAGTGCTGAATTTAATTTTGAACATATTGCTGTAAATAGCATCTAGACTGATTAGAGTCAGTGCTGCTGAAAACTAGGCCTTATTTTTACAAGATTATTTTTTGAAGATATAAAATTACCTATTCCATTTAAAAACTGGGGAGAGATTTATGGGATTTATGTGTGGACAGAATAAACTCCCTTCTTGCTTATGACAAAACTCTCAACATTTAGGAATTGTAGTCAGCAGTTGTCCATTAAATTAGTTGTGGAACTGTTCTGTGTGTATTAATTGCTCCATCTTGTTAAGCACGTACAAAAGACTATTGAGGCCTTTTTTCCTTTCTTTCAGAATTTCTTTGTAAGGTATTTTATAGAGATGCAGACTTTTACCTGGAATATATTGAACTGGAAAGATTCTCAGTGACAGTACATCTACTGCTGATTTTCCTTGCTTTTTTTTTCCTAATTTGCCTTTTAGAAAACCTTCAAGACAAATGAAGGGTGTGCCTGTATAAACTCAAGTGCAAAGTGTGAATGTGGAAACATTGGGTACACATCAGTTTGTTTAGCTGGAAAACTGTGTGTGATTCCATAATGTTCTTTGTTTTCAGGTTCTTTTGTCCTCCTCCATGTGTGTATCTCATGGGCAGTGGGTGGAAGAAAAAAAAAGAGCAAATGGAGCGGGATGGTTGCACTGAGCAGGAGTCACAACCTTGCGCCTTTATTGGGATAGGAAACAGTGACCAAGAAATGCAGCAGCTGAACTTGGAAGGAAAGGTAGAAAAACTGTAATAAACCACTAAGATAACTGACTGCAAAGGATATTGTAGCTGCACGGTGTATATTTCAAAGAATGCCCTTTCTTATTTTTGGATCATTTTCTTTCTAGGTATTGCATAGTGGTTTGAAAAAAAATCCCTCAAAATATTTAGGGCAATTGAATAGTTGGTTTTGGTTCCTAGGGTCATAGCAAGGTACTAACATTTAATTTGTAGGTTGCTGATACAGGCTCAGTAAACTGTTAGGTTATTTGGTAGGCATCAATGGCTAAGTAAAATATGGTTTGTGGCCCAAATTCTCTGTCTTGCTCCTTGGCTTGCATGAGTGGATGGATAATCTTATCAAGGAAATATCAAAACATCTGCTACTAGAAGTAGTTTTCAAGTCCTTTTGCCTAAAAATGCAATTTAAGTAGTATCTTAAAAATCTAGTAGGTTATTTTTATAGGGGTATAAATTGTTTACAAGATTTTTTAAGGTGTTTGTGATGACTTTAGCAGTTGGAATAGAGCTAGCAGCAAAAGTGTTCATTTTACCTGGTTGTTTTATTAAGCAGTATTTTATAGCTACCTGGTATTTCCAGCACAGTCTACCAGAAATGCTTCATATATTCAAAATAGGACATGAATAAAGAATAATTTAAGTTCTTTATGAGATTTTTTTTTAACTCTGTTGTCACCTAGCGTTAACACTTAGCCAAAAGTAACTTCTTTTTGTTTCAAAACCCAATCATTTCCCATCCTTTCAAGAAAAGTTCAGCTCAACACATTTTCTGCACAGGTGGGCCCTTGTGGATGCCCAGTGCAGGGTCTGCACAGCCCTAATCAAATGTAATTTTTAGTAGTGCTCTTGACCCTTCACATGTGGCTTTGACACAGTTATGGTCTCCAGTCGTCTCTTCTAGTCCTGGTAGGGGTCTTTGGAATGATGATTGAATAATGAGGTTGGGTGCAGCACTTCACAAAGCTAACAGTCATAAAAGAAATGCGTAGGGAAGAGGTGGAAAAAACAGGTCCTCATCTGTTTTAGAAACTATTGCATCAATTTTCCTATTTTATTCATGGTTAAATATGCCTAGTTTCTTGAACTGGGTTGGCTTCAAAGAATAAACCACAGTATATTTTCATCTACAGAATTATTGCACTGCCAAAACATTATACATATCAGACTCAGACAAGAGAAAGCACTTCATGTTATCAGTAAAAATGTTCTATGGCAATAGTGATGACATCGGTGTGTTCCTCAGTAAACGGATCAAAGTCATCTCCAAACCCTCTAAAAAGAAACAGTCACTGAAAAATGCAGACTGTAAGTATTTCTCTGTTTGTTCTTTACTTAGCAATTAATTTTGTTTCATACTATTTTTTTGTTATGTTTTTTAAGGTCTGACTACAAGAGAAATACATTGAAATTTTCAACTCCAGTTTTTTTGCTGTATTTTAGAACTGTACACTTCAGTGTATCTTAAAATATTCCAATATAGATAGGTTACCCTGTTTAGTTCTATGCAGTCATGGTTAATTAATTAGTAAATATAATAGGCCTACCAAAACCCCCATGTGTTCCAAGGAATGAATTCATGTAGACAAGTGTATAAAGAATGTTTTACCTCAACTTTCTAAGCTTTTGGATCCCTTTAATTGCCGTGATCTGGTGCTTAGAATGTTTTGATCAGTACCAAAGGGATTGCTTTCAGATTGTGATTAATGAGTAGCAGCATGTTATCCAGACTGCACTTTGTCACATCACAGCCACCTTCTTGCTGTCTCATACCATTTTCATGTTGTTCTTATTTTTGTTTTGCATGGTTTCTTTTAAGTAGTCATTTAAGAAATCTGTATGGTGATATTTCACCCAGATTTATTTGCTTACCATGTTTTTCAACTAACGGTATCTCTGGTGCTAATATAGAATTGGGAACGTTTTTGCTTTTCCTCCACCTTTTTTTGCCTGCGTACCACTGGAGCACCTCAAGAGATACCCTTTTTTTTGTTTGTTTTTCTCTCTCTCTTCACTAGTGCTTTAAAAGGCTCTTCCATCTGTGTTGGGCTGGAACCCATTCACCTATGGAATGTGGATCTCGGGGCCGCTAGCTTGGCACATGACTAAAGGCAATCTGTTGCTGTGCAGTTCACGCCCGGGGGCTCAGAGTATGCACTGTTGAATTTGTGTTCAGACAGATAGTTTTGATGGACAGTGAATATGAACCAAGCATTCTTCAATAGTAAATATGAACCAAGTGGAGCAACATGCCCGTTCTGATGGCAAAATTTTAGTTGCTGTTTTTTTTTTTTAGGGGAACAAACTTTACGTTTCTATCTTTTGAATGATAAATAAGTTCAAATCTGAGAACTTTACAAGTTGCATGGTTATAATTTGACATAGTTACATCTGTCTTCCTTTCAATTGCTTGTGATTTGTAAGAATACTTGTCTTTATATTTCAAATATTCTTCAAATGATTGCTGAAAGTTGTCTTGAGGACTTCACAAGGGCAAGCTAAAGCTTCTGCTTAAATCAGCTGCTGGAGAACTATGAACAGAAGGAGTGTTCAGCTGGCAAGCTCTAGCCCATTTGGCTAAATGGCAGAATTCTGTGAGCTAGCATGCCTTTGGAGAACAGCCGCTATATATGTTATTGCACTCATAATTTTATGTCTATTTTTGGTCTGTCACAAATATAAATATTTTCTAAATTCACCAATATTTTATAATTATGTCTTGACTTCAAGTATTCTTCACTTTATTTTATGTTATTTGTGACTTTTTGATACTTTTCTTTTTAATAATGAAGTAATTTTATAATCTCAAGTCTGTATGTGTTCCTTGCAGTATGTATTGCATCAGGGACAAAAGTGGCACTATTTAATAGACTTCGATCCCAAACAGTTAGCACCAGATATTTGCACGTAGAAGGTGGTAATTTCCATGCCAGTTCACAACAGTGGGGAGCATTTTACATTCACCTGTGTAAGTAAAAGCAAATCTATATTTTTCTTCACTTTCTTTCCTTCATCCTCACAAAAAAGCATCCTGCATTTTTTCCTCCATATTAATTGCCCATGTGCACCCTTGTTTTGTTACTGAGTGTATATTTGATGTAACAGTGTGATGTTAAATGTTTCTCATATCAAGAAAAACGGTGATTAAAACAAATAATTCTGAAAATTCCTGTTTCACACAGTGGATGATGATGAATCAGAAGGAGAAGAATTCACAGTGAGAGATGGCTACATTCATTATGGGCAGACTGTCAAACTTGTATGCTCAGTTACTGGCATGGCACTCCCGAGACTGGTACAGTTTCATTTCTCCAATGCTGTAATTAATTTATAGATGGCAGTAGATGTTATTTAGATGGCAATTTAGTGTTATTCCATAGTTGGGTTTGCTGTGTTCACAGGTTTTGGTCTTGTGTGTTGCCTTTGGGTAATCCATGTTTTTTATGGTAAATGGCATTTATTTTAATTAAAGCATATTTTTGTGTCTGCAGATTATTTCTCTGAACAAAGAACAACTTGTAAAATAAGATAGGGATTTTTTCAGAATTTAAGCCTGCCAAAATAGGTTAATCTGTCTGTTTTAAAAACAGTATTGTAGATTTCTCTGTTCCAAAATGCTTCAAATATTGATATTGAATAGATTAATAAAATATTTTCAACCAGTAGGACTCTTCAATGTGTTGAGTTCCAGCATAGCTTTAAAAATGCATGACTGATTTGAATATAAAAGCACTTCTGTGTACTCCTGAGCATATATTATACCAGTAACAGCTTGCAAAAAACATTTTTTCATATTTATTAATACTGTCTGTTTTAAATCTGAAACATGAGAATGGCCTTTGGAATAACCAGTTAAGGTTTGTGAACAAAATAAAGTATTACTTCTGGATACACAATACTGGGTTTTGTAAACAAAGTTAAGTAGAATTATAGATTATTCCCCTGTTTTATGCACTTAATGCCAGCCTAAGTGGAATTTTATGTGATTAATAATCAATAGTGCTTCATACGGGATCTTCTGTGAAATTGTGGTTTGTGAGCTCATTATGAGTTTTGTCCTAAGCTCTGCCAAATCCAATTTAGGTAGAAGTAATCTTTAGAAAGCACCAATGTGAAAACAGACTTCCTGCAGTCAGGCTTTTGTTCCCCTTTCCAGACTAATTTTGTTGGGAATGTAATGTGAATTTCTCTCCCTATACCAAACTTAGCTAAACAAAAAAGATAATAGCCTGCTCAATGTAAATGGTACAAAATGAAAATTTTGTTTGACAATAAAAGCAGTTACACTGGTTGCACTATAGATATGGTTTAAGCACAGCAAATTCAGTAAGAGGATGTCACCTTTTTGTGGGCTTCATGTTAATACTTTTTTATTGATGAAATGAGATGCCATTCTTTATTATTCCAGAAACCTTATTTGTAAGTAGAAACAGATTAAAACTAATAAGGCTAAAAGTTCCTGTTTTGTTTGCCATGGGGAACATTTGTCATACTGCTTACAGGACTGATGGAAGGTGATGCAATTAAAAGCTAACTTGCAGGTGTTTTATAAGCAAATGCAAAGAATTTAGAAGAAAAAAATTACCTTTAAATTTATTTTGCTAATAATACTCTCTGTTATAATTAGATATTGCAGAGGACAATTGGGTTTCTGATTGTCAGCTTAGAAATATTCAAGCACTTTGGCTGTTGCATCTGGTAGTGTTGCATAAAGCATTAAACTTCTTTCTAGGAGTTGAGTAAAAATTACGAGCTACAGATTTTCACTAAGGGAATAGCTCTTGATTTTAGAAATTAATTGGCAAAAGAGATCTGAATTGAGTCTGCAGATATTTTTTCACTGCATTGCCAAATGTAAGGAACAGTTGTTCTTTGCAGTTGTCTTTAAGTAATATGTAATGACCAACTACTGATAAGATATGTTATGATTGTTGTTTCCAAAACTGTATTTAAGGACACCTCAACACCTTTAGTAAATTCTTATTTTAATTCTTCTCCTTCAGCAGCCAGTTTGCCACAGAATGTTGTTGATCCTATCAATGGTGAAAGATTCTGTAGAAACATATTAATTACTAAAAATAGTAATTAACAATAAATGAAGATGACAATATAATTAATAACTGGTTTTTTACCCCAGCAAATTAAACAAAAGTAGATTTTGCTGAAGCTTCAATTTTTTCCCCACTCCTTCAGCAAAAATAGATAAAATATATATGCCTGCCGCACATTGAAGTAGTACCGAGTATCACTTCCACGTTGTGTTCTTGTTTCAAAAGCATTAAGAATTGTGAATCTAGTGTTGATACCAAAATGAGAGGCATGGAAATCTTATAAAAATTACTTTTCACTTCCTTTACTGACTGTATATATATAATAAAGTGTAGAAATTGTTCTAAGTATATATGTACAATTTTCATTCACAGATAATTCGAAAAGTAGATAAACAAACGGCATTATTGGATGCAGATGATCCAGTATCACAGCTCCATAAATGTGCATTTTACCTTAAAGACACTGAGAGAATGTATTTGTGCCTTTCCCAGGAGAGAATAATCCAATTTCAAGTAAGTTATTCAAAACTATTTCAATAGATATGTGTAGTTGCAAAGTTTTCTCAAGTATCCCCAAAATATGTATGAATGCCATTTTTGCAGTAGGTTTTGAATGCGAGGCTAATATTTTGTTTTGAAAAGGGAGGATGGAAAGCAACAAATTGTTATCTGTGTTTTTCCAAATCTGTTTTTCTTTCCTCATAATCTTCTTTCGTGTCTGTCTGGAAAATGAATTCTGGTTTCTCCAGTGGAGAAATAGGAAACACAGTAGAAACTTTTCTTGTGGTCTTGATACTGTGGCTTACATGTGTCAGTGGAGCTGCACCACTTATATGTGTGTCCCTTTCTAGGTTACAGCAAATAGGAAATGATACAATTGATAATAGTCTTGTTTCATGATGAACTCAGCAGAGCTGCCATGTGTTGCTCTTGGCTAAGAGAGTAAACATAGACAACTCTGGCAGTTGCCCACAGTAACTTGAAAAGCCACAGAAATTTGATTTGTCTGTAAAAAATAGAACTATCTCTGAAATATTTTTTTCTCCAGCAGGTGGAGAAAAACTTAGAGTTTTAGTCTCTTGTAGGTTAGCATGCTTGTAGCACTTCCACATGGTAACCAAGGACCCTGAGATTGGCTCAGCTGGTCAGAGCATGGTGCTGAAAACAACGAGGTGGTGGGTTCAGTCCCTGAACATGCTTAGTCTTTACTTGAGTTGGATTTATGACCCTTGTGGGTCACTTCTCACTCAGAATATTCTGTGACTCTGAAGACTTTGGCTGAGTTCAGGAATAGCTAAAAATTGCAATTTTCTTTAAATATTTTGGTGTCAGCTCAAATTATAGAGTGTTGAGGGATAATGCTGTGCTCCAGGAATATGGCCATGTGTGGCAGATATTCAGGACTTCCTTAGAACAGCTATACCTTTTTGGGTAAGAAAAATAGAGGTAGGAAATTAGAAGCTAACATTGAGAATGTCCCTTAATTTAAGGGAAGAGACAGGAAGGCTTGGTAAACAGTAATTTCAATTCTGTCCTGAATTGGGACAATGGAAAGAGAATATGAGAAGCTTTGTTCCTATTTCAGTAAAGATTCCTGACCTGTGGTTCAGAAGGGACTAGATCTATTGTTTCTACCCACAGCACACAGCAGAAATATGTATCTGTCAATATATATTCTTGTAAAGGAGATGGACTGTCATTAAGAAGAGAAAGCTGTGAAATGTGAACTACAATAACTCAGGATCAGCCTGCTATGTAATCATTCTTAGAGTACTGTATGGGAAGTGCTGAATGAAGAAACAGCTCCTGCTTCTCTGACAGCTGCCTTAGTTCAGCGTCCTGGAATTGCCTGTGGGACTGTCAGGATGTCCTAGCACTCTTCAATTTCAGCAGCACTCGTGGAGCCCAGTCTGATAAGAGCTCTGAACTTTCTGCATGGGTAGGAGTTAGATAAAAGGACACTCCCTGTCCTGAATTCTCTTAGTGGGGTAGGAACCTGCTGCTTATACTTGTATAAAGTCTGGTTACTTGCATGTCAGACTGCTACCATGCTTTGGTAGGTGAAATCACAGTGAAAGATAAACTCTTTCTTCCAATGCCAGGAGAGAAATCCTGTTTTATCTGGGTTTTTTATTTTGGATCAGAAGACAAAGATCAGGGAAACAGCATGTGTATACTGTTCCTGTAGCAGGAATCTAGACAAACTGTGGTCACTCTTTGAAAAAAAAAAACAAAGAAAAACAAAAACAAAAAAAACCCCAAAATAACCAAAACAACAATAACAGCAACCCCCCAAAATCCTGAAACTTATGGATGACAAGTCTCTTTTGGGTAAATGGAAATAGCCCTGTAGAGAGACCATAGAAGCTTAAAGCAAAGAGGCTGTAAAAAGTCTGCAGGCGAGTATGAAACTTCAAATTCTGGTGCTGAAGCACCAGCCAGATCTCTCTTTCAAGACATGCATGTGTTTTGGGGCATGGAGAGAGGATATGAATGGTGCCTTACTGGATCAGAGCACGTCCCTGTCTGTGCCCAGTCTGGCAGCAGCAGCAGGGGATGGTGCTTGCAGGAAGCAGGTGGATACAATCACACACAGTCCAGTGTGATTGTACTCTGCCAGCACTTGTACCAAGTGTTGTTAAAGGCTGAATTCTTGTCTTTTAGTGGCATTTTGTAGATGTGTTCATTGGTTTGATAACCTCAGAATGTGCAAATGTTCTTTTTCTTCAGTAATCTGTGGCAGAAAGTTTAAGAGGTCCTGTTCCCTGTGTAGTAAATGTTTGCTGGATTTGTTTTGAATGATGTAGCAATTTCTGTGAGTGATTCCTACTCCAGTTTTGCAGTATTTAGTGAGCAACAGTTCTGCATTCACTTAGCCATTGACATCTTAATTTCTTCTCTCCTCATTGGAAAAGCACAGTCTTCTCCATTTCTTCTCATAAGTTCAGCACTCCTTGGTGATTTTAGTTGCCCTTTCTGTCACTTCTCTTGTTTTTTCTCCACGACTTTTTTTAGATAGGGAGACCAGAACTGCACCCAGTATTACAGAATTAGCAAAGGATTCACACTGGCAAAATAATACCAGATGGTTGTTCTCAGCCCTATTTTCTGATGGTGTCCAGCATTGTGTCATCACTCACAGCTGCCACTGCACATCAAGGTGGTGCTTTCAGACGACTGTCAGTGGCAGCCCTAGGATCCCAGGCTGTAACTTCTGTCTCCAGTTGAAGCCAGACAGTACATGAGCAGTAAGCATGATGTTAAGGCATTTTAATCTTCCAGTACCACCTGTTGAGAAAATTTAGTTAAAAAAGGAAAAAAAGGGTGAGAAATGTCCTTGGAGCCCTATTTGGAAGTGACAAGTGCTTCTCTAAGACGAATTGAAACCTGTTAAAGATTTCTGTAACAGACAGAGTAATGTGTTACTGAAATGATTCTTGATGTAACAGGATTTTGAGAGCAAATTCTGTGGCATTTGCCTTCCACATCATGAACTTAAGAAATGTGAAAGAAGTCAGTCAGGGATCTATTTACAGGGTTGTTCATTTTTTCACATCCATGGTTTTATTTGTCATGATTCAAAGTATATCATTCCATGCCAACAAGAATTGCAGTCAGCCCATAGGAATGGTGTCATGCTTCAAAATAGTATACAACAGTTCCTATGGAATGGCTCCTCTTTTGAAGTTGGGCTAGTAATAATTTAGAAGCTGTGAATGTTTCTGATGGAAGTTTAATTTGGGCATCTCGAGTTTGGAGAGATCTGTAGTTACTACCCGTGTCACACACTTCCCTTGCCAGCTGTTTTCAGTGCTTTTTGCATGATCATACCAGAATGAAGAGTCCACATGAAAATGCAGCTTTGTTTTTTAACATCTAATATGGACAACTCATGCTAATTGAAGTTTATCTGCCACTTTGAAGAGTGAAGGTTATGGTTACCTACCTACCAATATCCCCTTAAAGCTTAATGGAGGGAAATATAATATAGTTATTAGAATTTTTTGTCCCATTTTTTTCTGTGTTTAACCTATACACAATTTTCTTATGGGTTGCTAGGTGGTGAAATTGTTCAGAGAGGCTTCTGTTGCCATAAAAAAAATTTGTTTGTGTATTTTCTGTGTATCTACCTGTCTAAGTATACTAATTTAGTAGTATTTAGAGGGAGATACTAGATGACCTTTGAGGTCCCTTCCAGTGCAAGCCATTCTGTGATTCCATTATTCTAATTTGTAAGGCTCTCACTTCAGCTTTTCTCTTGTGTCTTTGCACAAATGCTGCAATACAAGTTTGTGTTTTCCATCATTTTGTGGAGGATGAAGAACTCTAAAAAGAAAAAAATATCTTGAGCAGATGAAAATCATAACTAATGAAAAGTATTCCACTTCACTCTGTAGCTGTTTTAGACATTTTGCCTTTATAAGATATCTGTTTTAAAGCAGCTGCTTTCAGTTGCTGTAGGTTTTTTTGTTAATGCCTATTGAATAACATTAAAACTTTGAAAGTTGAACTAAAATAAAACTCAAACATAAGGTTGGAGAGGTGACAGTGTTGTAGGTGAGAGTTATGGTGTTCTCACAATTACTACTTTTCTAGTAGTTTTTCTGAAATGTGGAGAGTGTTTCTCTAGGTCATTTTTAGAGGAAAACATAAGGAAATGGGTTTTTGAAATAACAGGCATTGTTACCGGCTGAGTTGGTTTTTAGGTCTGTGACTTGACAAATATCTCTGCAGATCAGATTTTAAACTTTTCTTTCTCTCTAAGGCCACTCCATGCCCAAAAGAACCAAATAAAGAAATGATTAATGATGGAGCTTCTTGGACAATCATTAGCACAGACAAAGCAGAATACACATTTTATGAGGGGATGGGTCCAGTCCATGCTCCAGTGACACCTGTGCCTGTTGTGGAAAGTCTTCAAGTAAGTTAGTAGTTTGTTTTAATAAACTGGTTTTCTGTGAGATTATTTTTGTCTTACTCATGTAACCTTCACGATACCCTTGTGAAATAGTGTAGGAAAACAGTTTTAATAGATTTATAAATAATAAAATTACTTTGTTGTTATAATTTTTCTTTCTTACATTTCAGAATACATGAGCCTACCCATCATAGGAATAATACCAATATTGTATTTTAGAATTTTTATATTGTATTAATACAATTAATTACAATAATTGTATTGTTGTAATTTAATATTGTATTGTAGAATTTAATTTCTGAAACTACCATGGTAATGATATCCTTAGAACTTCTGTTTGATTATTTAGAAATTGGTTTTGACTCTTGCCAATTATATATCAAAGAGAACCTTACTAAAAACAAGCCACAGCATTTGTCAGAGGAAAAACTTAAAGCTCCCCTGACGGCTTCTCTGAAAGATTTTGTTCTGTTTTCAAGGCCTTGTTGACATCTGTTCTAAGCAGCTATTATCAAAACTTGGAAATTCCTTCATAGTATCAAATTAATTGGCAGTATCTTTTAGAGGTTTTACTACTTTATACTTCAGTTGTGTAGATTGTGTTTGTGTTTTGGTTTTGTCCAGCTGATAAAAACAGCACTGTTTCAAGTTCTTATCTGCATGTGAAGGTTTTGTTTGTGAGGTTTTTTTTTGGTTGGTGGAGTTTTTTGTTTGTTGGGTTTTTCTGAGGGGAGAGTGTATATTTTTAATAATACATATTTGGGGGGGATTTTCTTGTTCTTTTTCTGTTTGCTCCGTTTCCAGTTGAATGGTGGTGGGGATGTAGCAATGTTGGAACTTACAGGACAGAACTTCACTCCAAATTTACGTGTCTGGTTTGGGGATGTGGAAGCTGAAACCATGTACAGGTACAGTATTTTCTATTACTTCTGTGGCATTTATGTGTTACTGGGTGTTGATATGTACACTTTGAAGAGTATATACTTGTGTGCACAGTCAAGTCTACACTTTTCTGCACGGCAGAAAGGGGTCTGGGAGGGCTGGTTGGCAGAGGCTCAGCATGAGTTAGCAATGTGCCCTGGCAGCATGGAGACCAAACTGCATCCAGCTGGTCAGAAGATGTGTCTGTGCCACTGCAGTCAGCACTGGTTGCAGCCTCACCACCAACACTGCCTGCAGTTCAGGGCTCCCCATTAAGAAGGATGTTCAGGTACCAGAACATGTCCAGAGAAGGGTGGCAAAGATGGTGAAGGGCTGGAAAGCCCAAGGAGTTGCAGCCGAGGACTTTGGGCTCGTCTGGTTTAGAGAGAAGGAGGCTGAGAGATGAACTCATTGCTCTCTGCAGCTCCCTGAGGAGGGGAAGGAGGGAGCTGCTGAGCTCTGCTTCCTGCTATCATGTGCCAGGATGCCTAGGAATGGTTTAAAGCTGCCCCAGGGAAGATTTAGACTGGACTTTGGGCAGTATTTCTTTACTGAGAAGGTAGTCAGACACTAGAATAGGCTTCTTAGAAAGACAGTTGATGCCCCAAGCCCCTCTGTGTTTAACTAAATAAAGGAAATTGGGCTTTAATAATATGATTGTAACTTTTGGTCAGCCCTGAAGTGGTCGGTGTGTGCACTAGTTGAATATTGTAGGTCCCCTTCCAACAGAGCTGTTCTATTGAATGCTTTCAAGTTAAGGACCTTGTACTCAGTTGACTCTCCTGTTTTTCAGATGTGCAGAGAGCATGCTTTGTGTTGTTCCAGACATTTCTGCGTTTCGAGAGGGCTGGAGGTGGGTCCGACAGCCAGTCCAGGTTCCAGTAACTTTGGTCCGTAACGATGGCATCATTTACTCCACCAGCCTTACCTTCACATACACCCCGGAGCCAGGGCCACGGCCACACTGCAGTGCTGCTGGAGCAATCCTCAGAGCCAACTCAAGCCTCATGGCCTCCAGTGAAACAAACACAAACAGTGAGGGAAGTTACACAAGCGTCAGCACAAACCCCACCAATGTCACGTCATCTACGGCAACTGTAGTTTCCTAACTACTGTTGTTTGTCTGGACTTTCATTGACTTTTCGTGCTACATTCAAGAGAACTGAACAATTTTTGTGGTTTCCTGGGAAAACACTTTTCCATTTTAGGTGATATGATTTCAACCTTGTTACCTGCAAGTGCTGATCTTAAAAACAGAAGCCACAATAAAAAAAGAAAAAACCAACATCCGAAACATAAGAACTTTATTGAAAATCTATTTTTCAGCTGTGGTTTTTTTTAGTGGGCAAGAAACAAAAATGTGGCTGGGATACATGTTGAGCAAACTAGAAAACATGAACACAACATAGTTTTTATGGACCAAGGAACTTGTATAAGCTTTAGTATAAAAGGTACATTTTCACCATACCTTTTTTGTATCACAACATATAGTACACTTTTGTTACCAAATAGTTTATATTTTTTTTTCCTCTGAGCTTTTGCTCTGAAGTATATTCAGGTTCCAAGCCTGACCATGCTTGTATAATCTAATTACCATACTCTTCCAGTTTAAAAAAAAAAATATATATTTTTGGTCTGTGGCTGGAACTGTTCCTTTTTTTAAACTGAAGTCTTGTGACTTTTTATGAACTGAAATTGTTTTTATTTCAGCAAGTAGAACCTTGTAAAGGCCAGCATATTTTTTTTAAGATTATATGAAGTCTGTGCAAAAGCTTTAAAAAATGCCTCTGCCTTGCCTGCAATACATGCAATGTATGTTAACTTTAGTGCTCTGTTTTCAGTCATTGTTAATAGTTATTTCTGTTTTTCTTTTTTAAATATGTATTTATAGTGATAATTCATGAGGTTCTAACATTACATGAGTTTTTTTTTCTAAAAGTGGCATCTCAAGCAGTCATATTAATGATTGTTCATGTCACAGGCATACGTTGGTGTTTTTGAAGGGTTGTTACTGGGTTACTCCCCCTCTTCCTTGCTCAGTCATATTACATCTGAAAATGTTTCAGGATCTGTTCAGGTTTTTCTAATCTTGTACATAATTTGTATTAAGTGTAAGTTAAATGTTTTATTTCAAAAGTGGAATGTTCCCAATAACTTCATTTGGCAGCATGTCTTCTGTCTTGTTGGCATGAAACTAAAGTACCATGAGAAGTATGTGCTACAAATGGGATTGGTAGGTGATGCCCTTCATCACTTGAGAATCACAACAAGCATGTTTTTCTTCATACTGTTCAGTAAATTAGGCCAGACTTTTGTGTAACACTTGTATTGAGAATGTGCTTTCATTGTGAAGTGATCATACAGTAATAACTAGAAGTAAATTTTATTACTTAGAAATGGGCAAATAGAAAATCATAAAAGCACTATGAAGATGTCAACTCCTCCCATCCTTGTTTCCTGTGGGTTTCCCTTTCCCTGCCAACAGCTTGTGCAACATTCAAGTCTTCTCTCCAGCATAAATTCAAGGCTCATTTGCACTTTGACTTTGTTGGTTATTGCATTTGTTTTTCATTTTGACTTTACCATGTTTTGTCCCTCCTTGTAGACCTGCTTGCTTCATTTGTATTTGAACGTACCCCAGTAGTTCATTTGTAGTCACAGAGCTAGGCATAGACTTGTAGGACAAGTTCTGACAGTGTGATCTTCCTCTTTAAAAGCCAAAATTTCATTATGTGTTCAGTCTTTTCTGTACCCTGAAGCAAAAGTCACAACTGCTGTGTAAATGTGAACCTGTGGTTTCCTGCAGTGCATTGCTTACAAGCTTACCTGTTGACCATTTTCATAGGGTTTTTATTTCTGACCACTGATTCCAGTTTCAACACCCACCACCATTTTAAGGCATTGTCTCTGCACCATATTTGTGTACTCTGACGCTCCATTCTACCTGTTTGCTTTAGTGCTCTGTTGTGTGTGTGAAAACAATGTGTTTAAAGGAAGAAATTGGTTGTAAAGCATATTTAGCAACTAGTGAAATCAGTGCCACTGTCCTCCTGAAATGTGCTTGTATTCTACCACAGGCCTTCATACTCATGACTCTGTATTGCAGATCGTGTTCCCGTGACGTAGTGGCAATGCTGGTTCCTAGCACTAGTGAATGCTGCCTCACCTCATCTCCATTTCAGTGACCAAGGGCAGGATTCATTGTGGCCTTATCTCTGGTTTAAACTGTTTACTGGCATTTACTTGCAAATCTGTTTACCTTTGTGTGTGCAAAATTTTGGGTTATTTTGTTGTGGCGGGAATCATTTCACAGTGTTTTTGTTAGAAGCACATAAATAACTTACAGTACAGCTTAGTTCAAGAGCCACAGAATTTCATCACTAATTAGACTGAGAATTAAAATAAGCAAGACACATATATCAGATTTAGAGGGTATTCAAGAAACCATGATAGACACACAGCGGGCAAACCATAACAAGCCTTTTAACCTTCAAAGACTATTTAAAATAGCTTTTCAGAACTTGACACATGCTTTTATACTCATTATTTTAAATTTTTTTACATATAAATGCAATACTTTTTATATTCAGTTTCTTTACATGCGGTAATTTTGCCCAATAGATATAATATCCCTTGACTTGTAAAGATTTATCCTAATATCTGCTGTTCTACACACTACAGCCAAGTGGGTGAAAAAAGAGCCTATTCTGCTTACAATACCATTTTAAACCACATTTTTTCATTTGGCTTGTGGCTCTCTTGTTGCCAGTAGTTATTCTGTAGTACAGAAATGGTCTTCCAGGTCCTTACTGTTGTTAATACGTCCAGTTGTTCAGATATATTATCTTCCTGAACTTTTTTTCTGTGGGGTGATATTGTTACATATATTGGCCTTGTGAACTGTTAACAATTTTCATGATATTAACAATATCTCAAGATTTTGATAAAGCTACTTATAAAATGTTTCACTATGAAACTCTTATAACTGTTCAAGTCTAGCTGTTAAGTCTGCTGTTAATTCTGTATACATAGAAATTGAGTCTGTGTTCAGAATGTTGTTATAGTTCCAACTATAGGAAGAAGAAGCAAAGTGAGTGCTCTAATTTAGCTATGCCTTTTCTTGTTTTCTGTTGCTTGGAACTGCATTTCAGAATTCAACACTAGCGTAGTCCTTAATAATCTGCTGCTGATGTTTTCCCTAATTATTTGCCCCAAGGGCATCCCACAACTATGTTAATAATGGTATTCTGTACTTGTTTTCATTGCACAGACTTAAAAAATCAGAATGGTTACCTGAAAAGACGTTAACTCCAGACATAAATTGATGAATTCCCCATATAGAAAATATTAATGCCTAGTGAGTTAAATTATCTATTGGAAGTAAGCTACCCACTTGTGAATTAAATGACTCCATAGAGATGCCCATCTTGAAACTAAGATGCTCTTCAATTATTAACCATATTATTTACTTTCTTTCAAAAGCAGCTGTGTTTATGAGTACTGAACAAATGTGTATACTTTCCTGTGCCAGACTTTTGACTTTGTTTTCAAGCACTGTACTGTGGGATTGAGTGGCAGCTTTGTTAGAAAAAGAAGTATATTAGGGTTTCTACTTAACCCTTTTAGGACTGAACAATTTCCTCCCTTTAGAAGCTGTAAAATAAATGAGCAGTTCTAACTTCGTAAACATTCTGTCTGTGTTCAGCACTGCATTTGCCCCATCTGGAGGTGCTATGCTAATGTCATTTTTTAGAATCCTGTAGCATGTGTATACATTCAGTCTTAAAAGGGTTATTTTTACAAACTGTGCACCTGTAAAGTTTCTTAGCAATAAAGGTAGAAAAACGAGCAAGTTTTTACCATAATTTTGTAGAATTAATTGCTCAGTTCCATATTTCATCAAGAAAATCCCTGCAATATGGGCAGTTTTGAGGATTAAATAAAAGTGAAATGTAAACCACATAAAAGTGTTCTTGTCAAGTGTACTCTGTGTGTGTATGTGCATAAACTGTTGGGTTTCATTTTTTCTCCAAGGCTAAAGATAAAATGCCATGTTACTGTTGCTGTGACAAACATAACTGAACATCTGTATGATGATACAAAAGTACTTGTGGTTTGAACAGGTGTTGAAACTTGCCACATTTTGTTGTTTTTTTTTCTATGTTGACCAAGCAATATGGGTTTGTTTTTTGTTTGTTTTGTTTGTTTTGGGTTTTTTTTTCCCCCCCCCAAATGAACAGTGAGGCCATCTATGGAACCAGAACAGCACAAAAGAAGACCAACCCTGGGAGTGAGAAGTCATCAGTACTTGTGAGGCTGTGCGCACTGGACTCCACTTAAATGGGATATGGAATGTCCACCCAAACATCTAAATCAGTTTCATTTTTGCTTGTATTATTGCTGAAGTTAGATAAGAAACTGTTTTTTAATAATGTGTAAAAAAAAGTTTCACTTTTTTATATAATTTATTAAATAAGAAAAAATGAACTGTGTTTAATTGTTTAACTTTAGCAACTTCATTTTTGCAACTAGTGCACTTGACTCCTTTTGATCTTATTCTTAGTTGCAGAATGTGTGACATTTCTTTCAGTTGGTTGATAGCTAGAGCCAGAAATTCAGCAAATTAACTTATTTCTTGTTTTGACAGAATAGTAGGGCTGTCAGGCACAGCTAGAAATGATGCACACTAAGTTTGCAAGCACAAGTGACACAGTCACTTCAAGAAAGTTTTTTAGATGGGAAGTGGACGTGGCAGAGAGAGAATATAGAATAGGAGAAGCCTGCCAGTACTAACTAGTGTTGTATTAAAGTGATTGAAGAGTTAGAAGTTTACCTGTAAGAGTGAGAAGGGGTTAAAAGTGGTTCTTAAATAGGAGAGCCAAGAACAACAACAAAAACAACAACAAAAAAATATCACTGGCTTTAAAGAAGGATTACAGATACTTTTATTGAGACATCTGCAAGGTGTTTGCCATTAAGATGCATAAAATAGTCAGAGACTCAACAGTTGCAGAACTTCTGTTTTTTGGAACAGAGACATAATGGACACCATTCTCAAAATTATGGTCTCAAAATTATTTCCAAGACCCTTCAGTCTTTTTTTGAAATGGTAAATTGATTCTTCTGGAACAGAGTAGAAATTAGATTTGAGGTTTTTGCAAAGACAATGGTCACTTGCTAGACTTTAATGTTGGTGTCATTGGGAGAAACTCCATGGGATGGTGCTGGTCTTAGATGAACAGCTATGGATAGAAAAAAAATCTTTTCAGCCAAGCCTTGGCAATTAGCTAAATAGGTAATCTCAGTAATAGATTGTAGTAGGATCCAGAGAAGAAGATTAAAAGGAGAGTGGTGTGAGGGCTAGAGGAAATGATTGATTTAGTGTTCACGTGTAATATTTCAGAACATTCAGAACTACTGAACTTGGTCGAGTAGTTGGCTTTTCATGGTGCACAGTTAAGATTGGAGTTGCATGCTCCAGAGCAGGGTGGAAAAAACTGAGTGTCTCTGTAAAGGATATTTATTTCTGATATCCAGTAGTAGCTCAGTGTTAGATAGAAGCATGAGGAGTTATAGCCCATTTACTTAAAAATACTTCTGTTTTGAATATAGACTTTAATGACCTATGCTAAAGTGAGAGAAATTGAGAAAGATCTGATTAAATCTTTTGAATTTGACATCTTTCAAGTTCTGCATCTCCTGTATTGGAGAGGGATGGTTAAAAGTTGGATATTGTCTGTTCTGTGTGCTAGTGCCTATGTATTCTAGCCTCAGCTCCCTTATTTTTATGTGTACTTTTCCACGTTCTTAATTATGTTTCAATTTTTCTCAGAGTGTGTAAATTTTGCTGCAGAATTCAGGAGAGGAGTTGGTTTTAAGTAAGGTGAACTCCAACTTTTGAGACTACATGCTGCCATCTCTTGGTGCTGTTTCTACTGCTGGATTGTGGGGTGGGGAGAAAGAAATGTTTGTTTTTTAAGCTGCTTGTAGATGGAGAGAAAGGATCTACAGACCTGGCCCTAAAGATCTACAGGTTTTAGTTGAGGGGGGCACAGTTTAGAACCATGTAAAGTTGTAAATTCTTTTAATTTAAAAACCCTTTGCTTTTTATTTGTCTTTTAATTGTATTTTCTGTCCTGTTGCCCCCTCATCTATGTTCATTTAAACCTTCAGTCTGCTCTGTTGTTCTATTTGCAGATCTGTTCACTGGCAAAAGTTTATTTCCACTTCTGTGAATCCCAGTGGGTGTGTTCACAGGCAAGCTGGGGCCCTGTGCTGTTGCAGCTACTTCTGTGCCCAACCTCCATCTCATCTTTCTGCTTTAGCTTCTCCTGAGTGACTTGACCTGGAAGCCTTTGGCATTTCCAACTAACAGCAACTGCATTCATATGATCACTGCTATACCAGTACATTACAACATTTAGTAAATTGCCATCTGTTGGCTGTCAAAATAAGGATTTTGATACAGAAGCTGCAGACCATATGAACAGAATCCTTCCAAGTTTCATAGTTCTGTTTGGAGAATAACCTCACCACTTACATAAAAAATAGAGGCACAGATTTAGACATACTGTTTTCTGTCTTGAAATTACCTGTTTTAATAGCTAGCTGGTGACAAACAAAAGCTTAGTTCTTAAAATCTCCAAGTGAGTTTAGGAGACTTTTTTTAAATGAGACAGTTTGTTCTAGCGTTTCTTCTTGATTTTGATAATTCTAATAAAATTGTACATGATCTGTTAAAATCCAGCCAAGGTATCTGCTGTGAAATGGGATGTGATCCTGAGATCCATGTTGGTGGTGTAATGCCTATAAAATGTGACAGCAGTGCCTTGCAACTTCATTGGTCTCTGTCCAAGTATCTGTGTGATACTTCTGTATGTGCAGTGTAATTGCAAGAGTTTAGTTCAGGGGTAATTATAAATACTTCTTTATCTGCATAAGCATGCCTTGTGCAACACCATGTAGATACACACACATACAAAAAAACCAGACACAAAAAGTTGGTTTGTATCTTGTTAGCCCTATTGTACTTTGTTGCTGTTTGTTCTCTCTTAGGTGTGCTTCAAATTCCATTTTAGTTCTTTCACAGTTTTTCATTGTGGAAATTGGGAAGGGCAGTGGAGTATTCATAGTAATTGAATTTACTGCCTTAAAAAATGTAATTAGAACTTTTCCAAAAAGGTGAGCAACTTAGATTTTAACACAAGAGAAATCATTAGGTTGGGAAGTAGCATGTCTGATTTTTAGTGTCCTCATCTTAGTCCTAAGGCAAAGTGTTTCTGTGCTTTGCCTTTGAAAGAAAGAATTTTAAATTTCTTGCACTGTTTAGCGTAGTTCTGGGCAATTCCTTGTTTGCCAGAATCAGAAAACAAGCACTTCAGTGTACAGACAGAGCAACTGCAGAGCTGCATCTTGGTGTCAGTGCAGTTTCTCACAGCACCTGCTGCTTTTAGGAGAGGGAGTGAGTGGTCCTGTTGTTCCTTTACCCTGCTTTTATAAGAGCTGCAGCCCAGTCATTTCCAGCATTGTGGTGAGCAATGATTGCTGAGGTGGCACAGGATGGCTGGCTGCAGGAATGCACATCAGGATCCCTTTTGAAACCATCAACAGAAAAGGTGTTAAATCTTGTATTGACCAAATAGCACAATATTCTCAGCAAGGGAGGGGTTCGGTTTAATTTTGTTCCACGTGAAAATGTCTTGTGGCTCTGCTGTGGAGATTCCTCACCAGTTACTACAAATTTCAGAAGAGAGATTAGAGAAAATTAAACTTCTTGAAGGACCTGACATGTATTAACCTTTCTTTGGGCTTTTGTATCTTCCTTTTGAGTCCTGCTGCTGCTCCATGCTGCTTTGTACAGCATTCCTGGGCTTAAGGAATCCATCTGCCTTTTGGACTGTGCTTGATGTGGTAACCTCAGGCATGAGACTGATGTTGTGTCATCTTCCCTGTTTCACACATTCAGAAAGCTTTGGACTTCTAAATCAATTTTTTGTTAAACAGCTTTACCTTGGAGATTTAATAGATATGGAAATCAAACTGAGGTCTGAAAAAGTAATTTATTCTTCATTTAATTTAGAAATAATGTTGATAAGAAAAATTCTTTACTTTGGGAGGATAAATACAATTGGTGAGTGTTTAGACTTTCAAATACAGCTCCACTTTTGACCAAGTGGTTCATTTTTCAGGTTAATAATAATTTTGTGCTATTTATTCAAAGAAAAAAAGGCCTAATCTGATTTTTATTGTTGTTCTATATTTCTGCCTTCAGATACCTTGGCTGTCATGAACCAAGTGAGTTTCATCCTAAACTTATGATCTGGATGTCTTTATCCCCTGGATGTCTTCCAGATCTAGAGCTTGAAATAATAAATTTTTATACAATTCTATTTTTGCACAGCTTTTTACTGTCAGCTTACAGGTAAACTTGTAGAAAATAGATACTGGCTACCAAGATAAGTGTGTTAAATTAGAAAACAAAGAATTTCATCTCTTCTCACTGGATTTTAGGTTGGTGAAACAATAAACTAGGCTTACTACCTGCATGGGGTTGTCTTCAAGTCAAGGAGAAAATTGAAATATGTCATGCAGCTGTAGCTTTTTAAAATGATACAAAGATCTCTACAGCATGTTTTTTCAGCCACCTTAAGGGATACAGCTATGAAATATGATAGAACTTTGCCATTCATCTGCTGGAATCTGTATTAAGTCAGTTGCACATTATACACATTACAATCTACCAAATATTGCAATCTAACTTCTTTCTCTCACCTGTACTTGCATTTAGTTGTTTAAACAAATTCTTTGCAGCTGGTCATATTAGAGTGGACACTAAAAAATGTTTACCTTGTTTTTTAATTTATTCTGTATATGTGACTGAAAACTTTCCAATTGTATAGACATGTATAGGGAGAGAGTGAGTCATACAGGTCAAGAGGATGGGCTGTTAAAAAACCACGCATGAACTCCCTCTGTTGAGTACCAGATGTAGCCTTGATGACCAGAACTTAGGAATCATTTTGTTCTAAAACCTGATGATGTAAAATGGGAAAAATTAAATAACAGACTAATGATAATTACAATTCAATGTACTGCTGGACTGTACCAGAACCAAGTTTAAAATTATTATTCTCTAGCAATTCATTGTCCTTGGTAAACTGTCAAGGGCTCAGATATAAAATATCAAATTATATACAGGATAGCTACTAAAAAAACTCAGGCATGTACCCCATCCAAGTTGAAATCATCTTGAATTTTCCTAATCTTAACTAATTTGGTGTGTTTTGCCAGGGTCAGAGAGAACAAGTCTAAAAATAAAATTTTCAGAAAGGGGGAAAATGGTAAAAAAAATGTCTGGTCAAGATAGTTACTTCAGATGCAAAGTTGGGGTGCATCTTACTGAAATAATACTTTCTCTAGAGATTTATGTTTCTCTTGTTTTTTCAATAAAGAATAGTTCATAGATGTTGATAAAGCATCAGACCAGA